GGACTGGACGCTGCAGGTGAGTGCCACTAGGCCCTGGGACTCCGGAACCTACAAGTGCCAAGTCAACTCACATCCCAAGATCTTCAAAGACGTCAATCTCAGCGTCATGGGTGAGTGAGTGTGACTGAGAGGTGTGTGTGTGGGGGGGGATGTGGCGGTTTGTGTGTGTATGTTTGTGTGTGTTTGTTTGTGTGCGTGTGTGTGCTTGTTTGTATGTGTGTGTGTGTGTTTGTTTGTTTGTGTGTGTGTGTGTTTGTGGCGGTTTGTGTGTGTGTGTTTGTGTGTGTGTGTGTGTGTGTGTGTATGTGTGTGTGTGTGTGTGTTTGTTTGTTTGTGTGTGTGTGTAGGTGTGTGTATGTGTGTTTGTGGCGGTTTGTGTGGGTGTGTTTGTTTGTTTGTTTGTGTGTATGTGTGTGGCTGTGGCTGTGTACACTGTAAGTCGTGTCTGTGTTAATGTGAGGTTGTGTGCGGGTGCGAATGTGTGCCCGAGTGTGGATAAGAATAATAGCATGTTACTGGACATATATGAGCTACACATTTCACAATTTACCCCGTTTTCATCTAATTTTCGCAGACAGACGTCGGCTGGACAATAGGCTATACAGACTCCCAGCAGCTGATCCCGAACACGGTGGGTAATGATGATGCATTGCGCCAATGAATTGTTTTTCATGTACCAGACACACGCACACACACACGCACACACACACACACACACGCACACACACACACAAACACACACACACACACACACACACACGCACACACACACACACACACACACACACACACACACACACACACGCATACACACACACATACACACACATGGGAGAGAAGTATGTGTGTTTGTGTGTGTGTGTGTGTGTGTGTGTACATATCCACCCGCAAATACAACAATATAAAAATGTATTCATCCACTTATACATACTGACATACACACATGTACAGGCAAACGCATAGTGATGAATAAATAAACACGGTGACCAAAAGACAACATAAATATATTGAGAAGCAAAATGCATAATCAATAAATATCTTCAACGCTATCATAACAATAAATAAAGTTCAAAATCGTCTAACTCCTTCTTCTTTTACAACCCCTCCTTACCACACCCCCTCCTCCCCCCTCCCCCCTCACCCCTTGTCGTCACTCCCTTCTTCCTCTTCTTCCTTCATTCTCTCCCCCTTCTTCTCCCTTATCTTCCCCTTTCCCCTTTCCTCTTCTCACTCCCCTTTCCCCCAATCTTTCTCTCTCATATTTCTCTCCTCAATTTTCTCCTTTCGCCCTCTTCCTTCTTCCGTCCTTCGTCTCCCTTATCTTTATCGCCTCCCGTTTACCCCTTTCCCCCCTCCCATTCTTCTTCTCCCCTCTTCCCTTCCCCATCTTCCCTCTCTCCCTCCTCCTCCTCCTCCTCCTCCTCCCTTCACCCTCTCGCCTTCACACTTCTCGCCCTCCCATTCTTCCTTTCCTCCCTTCCTTTCTCCACACCCCTCTCCTTTCTGCCTTCCCTCTCTCACCTTCCTCCCCCCCTTGCCCCGTCCTTCCACCCTCCCCTTCACCTTCCCTTCCCCTTCCCTCCTCCCCCATACTCCCCTTCCCCTTTCCCCTTCCCTCCTCCCCCATACTCCCCTTCCCCGTCCTACGCCTACCCCCTCCTGCCCTTCCCTCCTCCCTTCCCTTCTCCTCTCCCGTCCTTCCACCCTCCCTCCCTCCCCTTCACCCCCCCTTCCCCACACTCCCACAGGGGAATACGCCACTCGCATTGTGGGGGAGTCGTCTCGCTACCTCCAGGCGGGGTCGTCGCTCGCACTGGAGTGTGTCGTCACCCACACCCACGACCCTCCACCGGCGCTCCTCTGGTTCCGTCAACAGCGTCTTCTGGACTATGACTCGCCGAGGGGAGGGATCGCTATTATGGTGAGGTATTGGGGGCGAGGGTGGAGGGAGGGGAGGGAGGGAGGGAAAGGGATGGAGGGAAGGAGGGAGGGAGGATGGGAGAGGGAGAGGGAATAGAGGGAGGGAGGGAAGGGAAGAGAGGGAATGAACGAGAGAAAGAGAGAGGGGGAGGAGAGGGAGGGAGGGGGAGGAGAGGGAGGGAGGGAAAGGAAGGGAGGGAGGGAGGAAGGGAGAGGGAGAGGGAAGGGAGGGAGAGAGGAAGGGAGAGGGAAGGGAGGGAAAGAGGGAAGGTAGGGAGGGAGAAGGAGAGGGAAGAAATGGAGAGTGAGAGAGAGAGAGAGAGAGAGAGAGAGAGAGAGAGAGAGAGAGAGGAAAGGGAGAAGCCAGGGAAGGATCATTAAAGTAGTACTATTTTTATCACTATTTCATCACAAGTATGATCTTCATCCTTGTTATCATTATACTGATATTATTAACAGTACAATTACTTCTACAACAATAATGACGATAATAATGTTACTGATGATAATAATGATAATAACGATAATAATATCAATAATGATATTAACAATAATGATGATAATGTTAATGATAATAATG